CTGAAACTTTAATCATTTATAATCCTTGTGTAATAGATTGAATTGCATCAAAAATATCCATTTTGGTTTTGGGACCTCGAAGCTTGATTTTCCTAGTACAAACCCCATTTGTCTTTCTTAATATGAAATATTTGGATTGCATAAATTAAAATATAAATATCTTGTCATATTAGATAAAGCTGTTATACAATTAATGAAATGACAATAGCACTAGCATCACCACCATTACAAACTGATGCGCAGCCAATTTTCCATCTTTATCTATTCAACACACTGGTTAAAGTTGCAATAATTCTAGCCCCTGAACAACCCAATGGATGACTCGTTGCAACTGCACCACCAAAAACATTGACTTTTTCTTTATCTAGTGAAAGCAATTTTAAATTTGCTAAAGCAACAACAGAAAATGCTTCATTAATCTCCAAATAATCAATATCTGAAAGTGATTTTTTTGCATGAGATAAATCTTTTGGTATGGCTACAGATGGTGATGTTGTAAATTTTTCTGGTGCCTATACAACAATTTTTAATTAAATAATCATAATTTATATAAATAAATAAACATCCACCAACTAAATATAAATTTACCTGAGCAGCATCACTCCAACCTAAAATTTTTGCAACAACTTTAATACCCAACTCTTTAGCTTTCTCTCCACTAATTAGAACAATAGCTGTTGCACCATCATTTAATGGCGAAGAATTGGGAGTTGTCACACTACCATTGTCAATGAATGCTGGCTTCACAGCACGCAGTTTATCAACATTTAACTATTATTATATTTACAAGATATATTTAAATGATTAGCATGTATTACTGGATTTTTTATTTTAAAAAAATTTAAACTAGCTTACATTATTAACTTCATCATCTTGTGTAATTATTTTATCAGGTTTACCTCTACCACCAGATACTTTTATTGGAACAATTTCATCCGAACATTTATTTTCTGCAAATGCTTTTTGTGCACATTGATATGAATAAATAGCATAATCATTCTAAAAATTATAAAAATTATAAAAATTATAATCATTCTAAACAATAAATTGAAAATGATTTTTAATGCAATAAATATAACTACTATTATTTACTTGTTCTTCACAAGTAATATTATAATCTTCAGCACATTCTTCAGCAGCAATGCCCATAAGATAACTATTATAGACATCTGTTAAGCCATCTTTTATAATACCATCAACAAGTGTTTGATCCCCATATTTAGAACCAAATATTGTTTTTGTGGCATAATAAGGTGTGTTTGACATAGATTCTGTACCACCAGAAACCAATAATCTATCATATTATATGTATATATAATTGAGTAAAATCTAGATACAGAATTTATTAAATGTTATATTCAATAATTAACTTACATCAGCATTTCCAGTGATGATGGTTTGGGCACCTAAAATTACAGATTTCATACCTGATGCACACACTTTATTAACTGTTGTGGCAATCACTTTGTCTGGGATACCTGCACCTAAAGCTACTTGACATGCTGGATTCTGACCTAGTAATATATTATTTATAAAAAATTTATTAGACTTTTTTATTTAAAATCATAGATATTAGTAATTATATGCATGCAGTGCAGTCAGTACCAAGGTTAGCAGAAAGAACATTTCCAAAAAAGACTTCTTCAACAAGCTCAGGACTAATGTTAGCTTTTTTTTAAGGCAGCTGGTAAATAATTAAAAAAAACTATTGAAAATTATTGTTAATAAAATCAATTATTATGCTGACAATTATTAATTGCCCATTTTTAACCTTCAACAGCAATGGGGCCAAGTTTTGTTGCTGTAAAAGAAGTTAATGATCCATTAAAACCACCAAGAGGAGTTCTTGCAAAAGCAGCTATATAAACATCTATTGTGTTATAAGTAAAAAAAATTAACACTAAATAATTTTTTAATTTCTGCTAAAAATATTATAAATTTTTTTTAACCTTTTGAAGAGTCTCTCTTTTTTTTTAATATATCAGAAAAGTCGCGAGGATTATTTTGTAGAAGTTACACGAGTATCTTATTTCTGCAAAAAGAACACCAGTGTCCTGTATATATTATGGGTCAAATTATGTTCTTTTTTCTAATGTTATTACAGACTTTAGGGTCAAGTTATATTAAACTTTAATTCTGGCTGGTCAAATCATATAACGAACAGTAATAGTAATTTTTGTTACTGTCTACGAAGTTTGCGGGGATCTCCAATGCATATGTCTAACCTGATACGTACAGGTTGGATGTAATGACTATCTTATACCAAAAAGGGATGTAGGTGGTTTTAACAAGTCATCTGTTCACTTTTGTCTATACCCATTTAGCGTTGTACAAACATCATAATCTTTCCCACAATATTTTTACACTTGTACTTGTCATATATTCCAAAAAAACAAAATAAAACAGTAATGATAAATTCAACTTGGGAACAAATACGTCGAGAAGTTAGAAATTATCGTAGTTCAATACAACCTTCAAATGTTGTCAACATTAAAGACTTTTGTTTTGATGAGGAAAGTAATCGCGCATATTTCTTGGCTACAGATTCTTCATGGATGAAAACATCAACATTATTTGTGGTTGATTTGCCATCTTTGAAAGAACACGAGTGTAAAAAAAAGCTTATGGAAAATAACGACGACAACGACGACAACGACAACAACGACAACAACGACAACAACGACAACAACGACAACAATAATGATGAAATATGTTCCAAAGTTCATAATCAATTTTCTTTTAGCTTTTCAAACAATGAATTTCAGGTTAAAGGTAAGTGAAAGTTTGTATCAATTGATTAAGGTATTTTTTTTTTCCAAAAAAAAATAATATAATATTATCAATATTTTATATTTAGTTTTGTTATACTTAGCGAACTGTTTTTGGTGGGATTTACTTTTTTTATTTTTATTTATTTATTTCCCAGTTCCATAGATATTTAGACTCTTTTTTAAAATATTTATTTGTAATTTTTTAATGTAAACAGAAATTTATACATACACGCGTGAACGTATACATATATATTTATATTACATGATTATTTAATTGGTCTAAATCATATTTTATATATTTTGTTGCAGACTTTCCTTTTACCTTTCCACAATCTATTTCATGCGATAAATCAATAACAACTACAATACCAACAAATTCTGACCACATATATATTTCAAATTTGAAATCAAATAAAAAACAGGCATTAAAAAATTCATCAACAACAATTTTATCAAATAAGTTACCAGTTGTTCATTGGAGACCTTTATTGTCAGAATTATGGTTAAAAGAAAAATCCTTTTCTGAAACATTATCGAGAGAAGAATTGTTTGTGAAGGAACGAAGGAGGCTAGCCTTACAAGGAATTGCTAGCTATCAATTCGATCCAATCGGTTGTCAAATTCTTTTCAGTTATGGCAGTGGAATATATTTAGGACATATTGGCGAGGTGATTTGTTGATTTATAAAAAAAGCTTTATTAATCATTTGAAAAATTAGTGATATTAATTGCATAACAAATTTTATATAGAATGGTGAATTTAATCCCATACCAATAACGCCTCGTTCTAGCTCTATAATATTTTCTGGAAATTCAATGAACTTTTCCCAAATTAGTCACTCACCACATCACAACAATTTATCACCAATCACTTCTCCTTCAACAACCTCTTCTTCCTCCTCTTCACCGCCACCACCTCTCCCTTCTTTCTGTACCTCCCCCAACAATAATAATAATAACTTATTACCGCCACGATTAGACCCAAAACTGGGTGGTCAAAATCAAAATCTCGTTGCATTCATTAGAGATCGTGATATATGGGTTAGTACAATGAATGGCTGCGAAACACAATTAACATTTTGTAATGATCATGATCCAGATGGTAATTCTGCACTAAGTTGTGGAGTTGCAGAATTTGTGATGCAAGTACGGAATTATTTCAATTGATATCTATTATTTGTCATTATTATTATTTAAGTATTGTAACCTACATGTTGTGTGCGTGTATATATTATATATTATACTAAGTCATGTTATTTATCCATCAAAGGAAGAATTCCATCGTTTTACGGGTTATTATTGGGCACCCACTTCAACTAATAAATATATGAAAGATACTTTAGAACGTATACTTTACTTACAGATATCAGAGTCTATGGTAGATTTAGTTTTAATATCAAGGCCTGGATCACCAAGCGAAGTAGAAGAATACCGATATCCAAGAGCTGGTTAGTGTACTAAGTTATCATAACTATTGTAATATTATATTATATAAGCCTTTTATTTTGTCAATTGTCTAAATATCATAAAATAATTAATTAGGTAGACTTAATGCAGTGAGCGATTTACAGATTGTAGAATTTTCACCGCGTTATTACGAAGACGAGGTCATTGTTTTTACATGTCTTTGCTAAGTGAATTTTATGATATATCATGTAATTGAATTGACGAATTTTTAAAGGATCCCGCACATGGTCCTGTTCATAAAAGACTATGGGGTTGCGCCACGTTGGATAAACTTTTCCCGTGGATGGAATATATTGTTCGATTTGGCTGGTGTTCTAATGGAAATAGGTGCGCAGATTTGTTTTAAAAATAATAATAATAACAACAATATATAAATTTGTTGAAGATGTCTTATTTTTAAATATATCAAGTGTGTGGGTTCAGTTTCTTGATCGACCGCAAAAACGAATGGCTATGGTAAGAATTCCCATTAGGATCTTTATGAGCTTATCTGAATATCAAGAAAGCGAAGGAAAATATGATGAATTCTACATGTCCCAAATTGAAGTAATTTTTGAAGAAAGAAGCAATATTTGGATAAATGTAGGTAATTCTGTTTCATCTTGTACTATCATTAAATATAATTATATATAAATATATACATACACATACATATATGTTTCTGGTTTATGTACTCTTTTAATAATATTTATAAGGTAGTGGACATATTTTATTTTTTTAATGACAATGAAACAACAACACTTTCAAAACATAATTCATATCCGACAAATGATTATGTTGAATCAACAAAGCTCTTTATTACTACAGAAACCACAGGATTTAGACACCTTTATCTCGTTCTGAAATATTCAAATATTTCAGAATATTCAATTAGGCAAATTACTGCAGGAAACTGGCCGATTGTCGACAGACCCATATTTGTTGACACTAGGCGAGAGCTTGTATACTTTACAGCGAAAAAGGACACGCCATTGGAAACACATTTGTATGTTGCTAGTTATGCTGAAGGGGCAGAAAATAATGAAATTATAAGGCTAACAGAATTAGGATACAGTCATATTGTAGTAATGGATGAAAAATGTGAAAAGTTTTTGGATTGGTTTTCCAGTATAAATGATAAACCTTGTTGTGGAATTCGATATTTAGAATGGGTTGATGATAAATGCATTTTCCCGAAAGTGAGTGAGAATATGGGTATTTTAGTGAAAGGCGGCAAAGAAGACGATAAAAAAGAATCCGAGGAAAGAAGACACAGCAAACAAAAAGTACCGGTTGGTGAATTTTTTGATTTCATAAATAAAGATGGTGTGAAAATATACGGATGTTTATATAAGCCGGATATGTATGTTCCTGGAAAAAAGTATCCAACTTTATTAAGTATTTATGGAGGACCCAAATCTCAAGTAAGAATAAAATTACATGAATTACAGTTATAATTATTTATATATATATTGAAATATTTATATATAATTAAATAGATGGTTACCAATGATTACAAATATCCGAGATTTCATCGATTGTTTTTAGCGACACATTTTGATTTTGCAGTTGTTTTGATTGATGGGCGTGGATCTTCAGATAGGGGAATAGAATTTGAGTCGTATCTTAGGGGACGTATGGGTACTGTAGAGCTGGAGGATCAAATAGCGGGATTACGATATTTAGCATCAAACAATATGGGTGTTGATTTAGACCGAGTAGCTATAACAGGATGGAGCTATGGTGGATATTTAAGTTTGATGGCATTGGCACAATACCCTGATATATTTAAATTGTCCATTGCAGGAGCACCAGTAACACAATGGGAATTATATGACACTGCTTATACCGAGCGTTACATGGGACTTCCGGCTGAAAATATAGAAGGATATCATAACGGAAGCGTTTTAACTTGGGCAGACAGATTTCCTGACAAGTATATATTAACTTTTATTTTATTTTATTTAATATTTTAATAATCTTATTTTTTTAAATATATATATGTGTATGTATAGTGAACATCGATTACTGATTGCTCATGGTCAAATAGATGAAAATGTTCATTTCAAGAATTCAGAACTTTTAGTATCAGCCTTGGTTAGACATAATAAACCACATGTATTACAACCATATCCTGCCGAACGTCACGGTCTTAGGCATGCGAATGTTGCAGAACACTTTGAAACTTTAATGTTTTTTTGGTTGTTAAATTATTTGTGATGAACTTTTTTACATGAATGTGTTGTAAATTAAAATGGTTTGTGTTCTTGGATGTTTTATTAATTTATATGTAATTTAATTCTTCGAGGAGAAAAAATGATTTTTATTTTATAATTATTTATTTGGGGATATTTTAGATATCTCAAAACATGAACATTGACATTTATGATTATTAAAAACTCTATATTAATAATAAATAGAAAATCATTTTTTTCTTATTATACATACATTTATTTTTGTACTAATAATATTTATTTATTTATTTATCTAGTGTATTTAATATTTATTCATTTTTATGTATTATAAAATCAAAAAAAATGTGTTTTTGCGTTAAGATTTTTTAGTCTTTTTTTTTAATGTTTTCCATTTTAATGTCTTCCATTTTAATGTCTTCTTTTTCGATATCCTCAAGTTTTCTAAGACTTGAAGATTCATTAAGTTCTTTTAATTTAACAAGATTAAATGCAATTGCTAATAAAATTGAAAAAGTTCGTCCTTGATCTATAGTAAGCGTTGAAGTAGTTGTTGTTGAAATATAAAATAAAGAAAGCAAGAAACTAGATTTCATATCATAACTTGGTTGCAAAAGTACTGAAGGAGTTGTAAATGACCAAAAAGGTGATCCTAGTTTAAAAGCAGATGTCCATATAGAACCACCAGAGCCACATAAAATTCCTAATTATTATTATTATTATTATTATTATTATATTATATAACTAAAATTTTGCCAATACAGGCCATATTGCCCAACCGGCGAAACTTTAATTCTCACCACATAATATCATTGCTACCAAACTATTGCTTAAATCAGGATCTTTATTACGAGAATCGTAACGTATACTATCTATTCCTAACAAACAGATTGAATATCCGCGTAGGATTCCATCAGCAATTAATAATATTGGATTTATGATATTATTCGGAATTAAATTGCTTAATCGGTAAAATGGTTGAAAGTAAAACATCAAAGTGTATATCAAACTATGTGAAAAAATATTAAAAAAAGATTAATATTTTTGTTTTTTATCTTGAAAATAAAAATCAATTATATATATAAACTTACAAATAAGTTGTAATTGTTACATTTGAAGAAAGCCATTTTGGTGCTTCTCCGCAAAGTATTGCTAAAAAAATAATCTCAAAGGCATTAAAGATCAAAAAATAAAAAAAAACTTGGTGAATACTTGCTTACCACTAGAAGTACTTCCTCCAACACTCATTACAATTACAGCAAAGAAACCTTGTAACCAAGGCACTTTGGAATGTTTTAAACTATTTTTATAATTTAAAGTTATATAGATTGCATGTAATGTAGTTAAAATATTTAACGGTAAAAAGGTTTCGTGCCAAACTAAACTTGGTGAATTGTTAATAAGCTGTGAAAATGACTCGAAACTAGTAGACGCCATTTTTAAAATATATTGATCAACCAATAAATCGTATTGGGGGATTCCACACATTAAATTTTGATTTTTGCCGATTATTTTTCAAATTAAATTTTGATATTGTCTGCCTTTTTGCAGTGTAATATAAATTTCTTAGAAAGAAAATCTGTACGAAAAAAATAGTCATTAGTTTGCAAGCTCAGAATTTGATCCATTGAAATGCAATTTTACAGCCACCTTAATTGCGTGTTCGCCAAAAATACTTCTGATTCTGACAGATATTATCTAAACTATTCAGGATAAACCTTATTTTTTGATAAAAATGTGTTATAATGGAGCAGTGTGCATTCGTAAACTTGAAGGTTAAAATTTTTTATAATCTAGAATTTTATTTTCACTTCGTACCACGCATCTGGTCGCGTCCAAATTTAGTACACACTTTATTATACAAAGTGTACTTACCGCATTATACAAAATGGAAAAATATCTTATATGTATTGTTTAGATTCGAACTGAATAGATATAACATTTTGTCACATTAGATTAGTTGGTATGATGCGTCATAAAAAATGTGATAGAAAGCTTATAACGCCCCTTTTTGAAAAATTTGCTAAAGAAAAATTTTATTTATATCAATTTCGAGAATTCCATACTAATGAATATATATATAGAAATTAAAGGAAATTATAAGAGGTCAAAATAAATCGGAATGGCAATATAAAGAATCTCTTTATACACAAACTACAGTGCAGAAGGCCTATAATGGGAACTTAGAAAAATTGAAATATCATGTGATCCACACATCAGATTTTTAAAAAAATACCACCATTGAACTCAGCTTTAAAAAAGGAATCGATTTATGGAATAAAAATTTTTTCTCAATTTTCAATTTGTAGATCTTTCTTAATTTAGTAATTTTTTATTTACAACAATTTATTTAAATTACATTGTTAATTTCATCATAAACCATATCAGGAACTTGTCTATGGGATTTATATTTTTTATTTGCAAATTCAGCTACTTTTCCTGTTAGACCTTTTCTGTAAATGTCCATATAACGCCATGATTTTTGTGCATATCTACGTAAAGTAATTAAAGGAACTGAATCTAATGCTTCTGGAACTGTTTTTTGCAGACCAGTCCAGGTATAATTACAATTATTACGAGTGTAAAACTTTGCAGCACCCCAATACATCTCTATCCAATTAAGTTCACAGTGATACTTTGGGAAAAAAATGCATTTATGTCCATGTTGCTCAATAGCCTCTTGTAACCTTGATTTTTGAGCAACAAAATCATCTTGCAAAGAAAGAATTTGGCGCATACAACAATCTGTTCTGGTATTATCAATAACTTTAGATTTACCTTTACACTGTTTGCAATCACCAGGAAGTCCTTCTTTCCATAAACCTCTCTCAATCAGAATTTGTTTCATTCCTTTTGGTAAATTTGGGTGCTCTGTATGATTACTTGGAAACACCATTGATTGAAATGTTTTATTGGGTCCAAAGTAGGTATTTCTCATTATTGCTTGTTTCCCTCCAGGTTTAACATTCATATTAATAGCATTCAATCCATCTGGTGGCATTGCACCATGATTGGTGCTGTTATCAAAAGCAAATACACCAATTGCATTAGGATGTAATGCATTAAAAATTGGTATTGCATAGTCAACAACTTGTTCTAAAAGATGATCTGCAGTCCACCAACCTTCTTCATTTTTCCCTGGTCTTAAATATTTTCTGGCTTCTTTTGGTAAGTCTGGAAATTGTAAAATTTGACTTTCTGATAATTTAAGCCTACCAACTGTTTCTGTGAGAAATTCACTCACCATTATTGATTTACCTTGGCCTTTCCTTCGTAATGGTTGTTCTCCAAGAGGTGCCCATACTATTGGTCAATCATCATTTGCATAAAACAAACATTCATCATGAACTACAAATAAATGTAATTTTTCATTCTCTAATAAAATAGGATTCTTTTGTTCCATATTCTCACCCTCAAAGATTGGCATATATTTTTCATAAAATTGCATTTCCTCAAGGAACTTTTTCCTATATTCTATGACATCTTCACGTTCATGTCCATCATAATAACTGCCTTTTTTATGTGATTGAGGCTTTAAACCTAATTTATGTAACCAAATGCGAGCTGTTTGATAAGATATTGATTGTGTAGTCTCTATACTTGGAAATAATACCTTGTTAACAAAATCTTTGTATTTACAAGGTGTTACTTTATTGCCATTTGTTCTGACAAAATTTAATGATTGTTCAATCACATCTTCATCATCAATGAAAGACTTTGTTTTCTGATGGCAACCTTGTAATGATTTTGGCAGTGTACCATGGTTTAACCAATATGATGAACATTTTCTTATAACTCTAGATTTATATACTCCTTTTTCATAAATGTCACTGGCTGCTTTCATACTAGCATCAATGGAAGTCATGCCATAATTCTTCTTATAATTGAAATATATATATATAGCTCTATAACATAAATATTCATATGCAGAAATTTTTTTTAAATTACCTGACAAAATACGATTCAAATCCTGTAACTTTTCATCAAAATTAATATGATTCTCCATTTGGTCATCATTATCATCACTATCATCAACATCAGCATCAACATCAACATCAACATCAGCATCAACATCAGCATCATTATATTTTATATACATCTATCTCATTTTGTTTAAACGTATACTCTGCTAATTGATTGACTGATCTTTAAACTAACTATAAATACAGTCCCAACTATTAAATAAATAAATAATAGATCTATATAATATATCTATATAACCAACTCAAAAATCAAACTTGTGAATACGCCCAAATATTACTATGAGGATCCTTATTATTATTAGCCATATTCAAAAAACCTCTAAGAGTTGTAAATAATCCATTTTTTTTTCGCATATTATTATTATTTAATTTGTTATTTAAAGTCGTTTTTGGAGAAATTGGGGATGCATTTGCAGTGTTAATGATAGTATTATTATTATTATTATTATTATTATTATTATTATTATCATCATTATCATTATCATTATTATTATTATTATTGTTATAACTATTATCATCATTACTATTGGTAAAAGAGTTTGTTATCATAGAAATATTAGCGGTAGGTATAGGACTTACAGACCTTGAACTTTTAGCACTTGGTAATGTTGAATAATTTTTAGGTGATAATGGCGGTGAAGCAATAGCTGTAATTGGTGTTAAAACAGGCTCAACGGCTTCGGGTGACGGTAAAATTAATGACTTTCTTCGTTCTCGTGATGCAGGAGCAGTATGATATGTTCTAGGTGGTGGTGTAGGTGGTAATATGTCACCAGGTGATGGTACTGGTTGGTTATCATAATCATATTCATAGTCATTACCTTCAGTTGATGATTCTGTAAACTCTTCTCCATTCTCAACATTATCATCATTATCATCATCATCATCATAATCTTCCTCCTCATCATCATCACTAGTACCAACTGCTACATCAACCATAATATTTTGTCGAGGAGATGATGATGTACTTTTTTTCTCTCTCTGCTTGGCTAGTAACAACCACCAAAGTCCGCTGGCTGAATCACAACTACCCTCTAAAACGCTTGTTTTCATCGAATCCACATCAAATCCCAAATCATCCAGTTTCTCCAATAATTCGATTTCTTCAGGTGTCGTGAAAAAGATTTTTTCATTAAGTGTTTTACTATCAACAGATGACCTTTTAGATGCTCTTGATGTAGTAGATTGTGATGGGCCCCATGATTTTGTCGTTGACAATGTCAATGATAATGATTGTACATTGGAAGTTCTTGGTGTTGATGTGTTTGTTGATGATGTGTTTATTGATGATGTGTTTATTGATGTTGATGCTGACAATGATAGTGGTGTTATTTTCGTTGATGCAGATGGTGTTATTTTTGTTGGTGTCGCTATTGGTGATGATGTTATTGGTAATGCTGTTATTGATGTTGATTTTGTTGACGTTGATGATTTTGTTGACGTTGATGTTATTAATAATGAAGACGCATTATTACTGTTACCATGACTATGAATGTGACTGTTACTGTGACTGTTACTGTTATTGTGACTGTTACTATCTGAATTAGTAGATTCTGTTATTGATGATAAAGGCGGTGGCGGTGATTTTGACAATGACTTTGAAGATGATGGAGATGATGGAGATGATGGAGGTGATGATAATATAGGTGGTAATGATGTTATTGAAGGCAGAGGTGATCTTGACGATGATTTTGATGACAGTGATATTTTTGTTGATGTTTTTGTTGATGATATTGACGTTGATGATGTAGAATCATTATGTGATATAGGAGGGGTAGGAGGAAGAGAGGGTGATGATAATGATGGTGATATGGGTGATGAAGGTATAGGAGGCAAATTTGCTGGTTTTGATGGTGATTGTTTGGATATCAAGGAATTATTACGATGATGAGTTAACCCATTCATTCTAGTTTGAAAAGCTGATGGGGCACTATTAATACTACCAATATTGCCATTACCATTATTATTTATTCCATTATTTGAGTGATGGTGTAGAATACGTCTTGAATTGTATACCGATGATGACGACAGTGATAGTGATGATGATGATGGTGATGACGATGATGGTGATGACGGTGATGATGATGATGACGATGATGATGATGATGAAAAATTATTACTAATATTATTTGTCATTAATTTTGTTGTTGAAAATATTTCTTGACGTTGTCTTTCTAAATGATTAATTGCATTTACTGTCGATATTGCAGATGGTGATGTTGATGCTGATGTTGGTGTTGGTGACGTTGATAGTATATTTAATGAATTGTTGTTATTAACATTATTATTATGTATATCATTATTATGTATATTATTACTATGTGAATTATTATGTGAATTATTATGTGAATTATTATGTGAATTATTATAAATATTACTTTTATTATAAACAATACTTTTAAAATTATTAATATTTTTATTGGTATAAGAGTTTTTATCTATTATAATATCTTCTTCTTCTTCACTTTCTTCTTCGACTATCGAAGTCATTGTTCTTTCTTTTTTATCCTTTGTTATCGGATAATTTACTGCTATTTCTTTTACTAATACTGTTTTTTCTTCTTTTACAATTACTACTTCCTCACTTTCATCAATACACTCTTCATACTCCTCATCCACCTCATCATCATCAACATCTTGTGATTCTTTTGGTGTAATTAAAACATTTTCATTTTCGTTATCGTCGTCACCAGTTTCTTCTTCTTCCGCTTCCACTTCCTCCTCCACCGTCTCCGCCGTCTCCACCGTCTCCACCCCCTCCTCGTCCTCATCTTCCTCATCATCTTTTTCATCATCTTTTTCATCATCTTTAATTGTAAACCATGAATGTTGCAAAATTTGTCTTGCTGTAGGTCTTTCAGTTGGTTCCATACTTAACATCATTCTTATTAGATCTTTTGCCTCTATAAATTAAAAATAAAATGAAATTAATTATGTATTCGTGGATTTAAAAATGACTTTTTATAATAACTGACACACATATATATATATACCATCAGATAAAAAGTCTTCAAATACAAATTCTCCTTTTATTATTTTTTCTTTCATCACTAATTCATTATCATCATCAAATGGTAACGAGCCACAAAGCAATGTATATAATATTACACCTAGTGACCATATGTCAACCTCTAAATTTTTTTAAAAAAATTAAACAATCGAAGCTATTATTATTGTTGTAATGATGACAAAATATATTTGGTAAAATAACAATAAATATTTACCTAAACCAGAATATTTTTTACCAGAAAGCATTTCTAATTAAAAAAGACCAATAATAATAAATGTTAAATAAAATGATAATGATAATAAAGAAGATTTGATTGATAGATGGATGGATTACCTGGAGCAGAATATCCCGTGGATCCACATATTGTTTCTAACAATCTTTTGCTTTCACATTCTCTCGTAAAACCAAAATCACCTAATTTTATATTATCATTTCCATCAAGCAGTATATTTTCAAGTTTAAGATCTCTAATGACATAATATATAAAATATTATTAATATTATTTAATATGTAAATATTATTAATGTAATGCGATAGCTCTCATACAACACATATAGTAAGTTACCTGTGAACAACTTTTCTGTCATGGCAATATTTCACAGCTCTACATATTTGATAGAATATTTTTCTAGCCAAATTTTCTTTTAGCCGTCCTCCTTGTAAAAGTAAAAAATCGAACAATTCGCCCTTTTCACAATATTCCATTACAATATATATGTTAGTTTCTGTTGATATTACTTCCAATAATGATACGATATGTGGATGATGTAAATATCGATGATGATAAATCTCTCTTGTCAAATTTTCTGCATGAATCTTTGGTATTATTTTTATTGCAACCTTTGATGATTAATAAAAAGTTATTATGAATGTTATAGAGAGATGTTTTTAATTAACATAATGTCATTATTTATAATATTAAATAATAATTATAATCCAAAATTAGTTTAACTTAAAACTAATCTAAAACTAAACTAATCCTAATTCAAACCAATCTAAAATCTAGATGCTGAATTTATAAACCTCTTTCAATTTATATCATCTATTCAATTATTATTGTTAATATGTTTACCTTTTGACCAGTCAATTTATGCGTTGCAAGTTTAACTTTTCCAAATGAACCTAAAAGTTTAATAAATTAAACTTTAATTTATAAAGAAAAAAACTTTCTTTCCTTCACAATATCTCTCGATGACAATTATATGATACAATACCTTCGCCAAGTGTTGTCTCCAAGGAATAATTACCAACAGATTTTAAATTAGATGTTGACAGTTCTTTCAATAATTCCTGGTAGTCAGCGGCAAGCTATGTAATCATGTAAGAATTTTGGGTGAAGTTAGTAATTAATTATATGAATTAGCGATTAATTGAATTGAAATAAATAGAATTATGAAAATATTTCTAGATCAAACATTTAATCGAACAATTGACGATTGATAAATTTACCTTTGCCATATCGTTTCTTGAGGCAGCAAAAAGTGTGCCACCGAATCTTCTTGACCCAAAAGACATATGCATTTTTGTCGTCCAGCAACTTTTTTTTAAAAAATTATTCAATTATAGACTTTATAAAATTTTCTGGGGAAACTTATATCATTAATTTAAATTATATATATTTATATATATATTATTATGTATAGTTATATAAATAACAAAATTAAAAAAAAAATTTTTTTTTCCAAAAATTATAAATAAAAATATATATGTGCGCTTATATATATTAAAATAGTTGTATCTGTATATAAAATATACACAAAGCGGACAAAGGTTTATTATTATATTGTTCAGAATAGTTGAAAGTAGTAATTTCTATTATGTAACAAAAATAAAAACAAAATAAAATTAAAAAAAAACTCTATTCTCAAATAATCCGCAGTTTATATGATATAATTTTTCTTGTTTTGGGTTTTGGGTTATAGTATGTCACTATTATATATATTGTTATTATTTTATAAAATCTAGAAATGTTTTAAGAAAGGAAGTAGGGTGTGTGTATGGGTGTGTGTATGGGTGTGTGTATGTGTGTGTATGTGTAATTACTTTACTTGTTTCTTTAACGATTGGAAAATAAGTTTTTCGCAGGAAAATAAATAATGCGAGTGTGGAAGTGAGATGTCCCAAAAGAAAGAGAAGTCTTGTTTTTAGTGGTTTTTAGAATGGATAAATAAATAATTTATAGTTATAGAAGAAATACAAGTAATTTAATTAATTATTATATAAAACAAGAAAAAGGAGAAGAAATAAATAGGAGAGAAGGAGTTGTTGCAGTGTTGCAGAAGAGAGAGAGGAGGAAAATAATAAATTATTTGAGATTTATTTTTGGAAATAGGGATTTGGATGAACAAATTAGTAATTACATATTAATATTAAAATTGACACTTTTTTTTTTAAAAAAAATTACATTGAAAAGAAATTAAGAAATCGTGTAACATCCCGTTGTACTAATACGAATCATGTTTATTATCATTATCAAATCTGGTTTATTTTATTTATTTTACCATTTTAATATTTTTAATAGGGTTGCTTTATTCCCTGAAATCTTTTAAAAGAAGATGGCTTCTTCCAACAATGAAAATACAACAACAACAACAACAACAAATAATAATCCAACAACTTCGTTTTTATCACAAAGCAAAATTCGGTAAAATATTGTTTTTTATATATAATACATACATGCATCTTTAAAAATTAAAAATTAATAATAAAATCAATAAATAAATATGTTTGTAGACATGAATGGTATCAAAACGAAAATTATGTCAGCATTAGTATTTTTATAAAGAATGTAAAAAAGGAAACAGTTAATGTTTATATTGCAGATAAATCATTATCGGTTACAGTGAAATTGCCAACTGGGTCAGATTATTCATTGGAGCTTGATCCGCTTGCACACGAGATTGAACCAAAGGAAAGTAAATATGATATTTTGTCTACAAAAATTGAAATTAAAATGAAAAAAAAGGAAGTTGGTATTAAATGGAGTTTACTTGAGGGAGAAGATAAACTTTTGCAAAGAATTGACACTGATGCTAAAGGTAATAAGCCAAAACGAACGATCGAGAAGATTTTATATTTGAAATCACAAATCATTCAATATAAATTATTATTATCATCATCATTATTATCATTGTAATTATTTAAATTTCCATTAATAATAATGCATATTCTACCACATGTAATAACTCAGGTAGCCTGGCATATCCATCATCAGCTCGTCATGCTAAAAATTGGGACGCATTAGAGAAAGAAATTATTAAAGATAAGGATAAACCCGAAGGAGATGCAGCATTGAATTCATTATTTCAACAATTATATAACGATGCAGATGAGGATACTAAACGTGCAATGTTGAAAAGTTATACCGAAAGTAGTGGAACTTGTCTTAGTACAAATTGGAGTGAGGTTGGTAAAGGTAAAGTTGAAACAAAACCTCCTGATGGTATGGTTGCTAAAAAGGTAAATTTAAAAATATTATTTTAACTATAATATTATTTATATATTTTTCTTGGTTCAATATTAATTTATATTTATTTTGTTTTCTTCCTCAATAAAGTGGAATGAATAAAATCAATCATAAAATGTTACATTGCAAAAAATTGAAAATATGATCTTTGTAAAAGGGGGGGGGGGTGAATTTTTTTCGAAAACAATATCCCATATCCAAGTAACAATTGATTTATTGTATAATAAAATTTTCTAGTTATCATCAGCATTGTCTTGTGCTTTTAGCAAATAGAACCAATTACTAACAATATTTTTTATTTTCTGGGTAATTAATTAATATATGCATACAATGCTTTCTTAATTTTCATCAGCTATTTGTTACATCCTACCAACAAATTGTAAACATGAGAACGTTGCATTAAACAATCATTCATATTATGCATTTTTTAATGCCATATTTCCATATTGCTTTTTGACCAAGATGTTAGCGTATAATGCACTTGTATACATACGTCATATATATTGAATTTATGCATGTGTATGTGTAAGATGCATATTAATATATTAATAATTTAATTTTCACGTGACTTGAAAATTCGGCAAATACGAATATCAAGTTTCAAATATTATTAATCAGATTTACATCCAACATTCTCTTCATTTGCATATTAATATGTATATTTTGATATATAACTCTTATAGATGAAGCCAATATTTTGGATGGTCAAAATTATTATGAATTATCATAGATTGTGCCAAGCAATTTCTTTCTATGGTATACTCATCCATATACATGTAATTTTTATTTTTTTCAAAAATGAAGGATATTAATATAAATGAATTAATAAAGGTGAGGGAAAAAAATTATCCAACGTTTTATAAAGGTCATGTGTGTCGTGCATGTCAAGCATGTGGTTGGAACATAAAGTTTGAGCTCATAAGAGTTGTAATCTGTTTTTCTTGAGGAAATTAGAAATCAAATGACAAGCCTTTTTTCATTGACTTTGTAAATGATGAATTTGTGCTCCAGGTTATGAACTACCCAATTGAGTAACATTTGCAAGTTCTTAGGTTAATCAACTATCAGCAAATGTTATTAAAGATCCAATAATAATGCCATTACTTTAGGTTTGTAGTATATTTAGACTTCATATAGAGCATCTATTTTCGCATTTAGAAGAATTCCATGTCATTCGATTTATTTCTCGTAAACATTAAACGGGGCATACCGTGACAAAGTGAACATTTTAATTTGTATTACCAAGGATCTCAGGGATCAAATTTTAGTATGTCAATAAATAAATACACATTCATGTCTCCTTGTATTAGAAAAAAGCCAATACAAACTTATGACAGTTATAATATTATTTAAAGCTTCTACAAAGCTTTAACATTACATATTTAATATTTACAGTTATTCTATTAATATCACTTGAGATTTTAATACCACTTTCTCATCTACTAACCAAGTCATTATTGTTTTTTGTCTTTTTATAGTTCCAGGTGATGGATGCGTCATAGTATCATCTATATCAAAACTAATCCTTCTCCCTGGCCCTCCCAAAAATCTCTTCATAGTTTTCCATCAGTTCCAAACTTAAATTATTGAGATGATTTGTATTATGTATCGATAATATTGGTTCATCACAATTTAATCTGAAAACACCAATCTTTTCAAAAGGCTTGCATATCATTTTGACAATGTCATATTTTTTTCCATCCATGTTGACCACCCATTCTGTGTCTTCTTTTTGTGACTAAATTAGATTTGAAAGTTGAAAACTATCAATCTTTATAAAATATATAGAATAAAATTTTATTTACCCTAAAATTTTCCCTTAATTTTATTTCAAAGTTTGTGGCATTGAGTTTTTTTATCTCCAAATTGTTAATTATTTCACGGTTTCACTAACGAATTTTATAAACATTCCAAATATTTTGACTTAATAATTCATCAACTTTATTAAAAAATATACGAACCAAGCTCATATTTATTGTTCAGGACACTCCATGCAAAAAACTCAATGGCGTAAACTTTTCGTGGATCATATATGCTAAAAATAATTCGTAAATTTCGCATTCTGTGAGCTTGTTTTATCAGTGAAAGAGTCGCTATAATAAAATTTTTTTATTATTAAACTCGGATAATTTGTAATTAGAATGACGATGAGTTGCAATGCATTGCAGCCACCACTTTCATTCTTTTTAAAAAACCAGAATGGCGACAAGTTGCAATGATTACAACCACCATTGTTCTTTTTTAACTAGAGTGATGACAGCCATTTCTCATTCGGATCCGTATTTTGTTGTTTTTATTTTCTTCTTTTTCAGTTTTCTTTATTATTAGTTTATTAAAAATTAAAAACCACATTATTATTGGCACATGGTGTTGCACAAAGATATTTTTTTAGGACAGACGCGAATTGTGAAAAACAATTTATTTTTGACAAGATGTAGCGTTTGTACTCGTAATAGAAATATCTGGCTGGATAAGGAATTTTTAAACGGTATTTTTTCTTTTCTTGTAAATGGTTCAACTTAGCCGACTAGTAATTGACTTCAGCCAATCAAATCGTATTTATTAGTTTTGAAAACAATTCGCCTAAAAACAGCTAGTTACTAGAATAAAATCAACTTTGCAAAATAAAATTTTTTTTTTGTGCATACAAATAAGATAAATCTCAGCATAGTGGAAGTTTGTTGTTGCACAAAATGTTATACAGAACCCGTTGCTCCTGAAACTTCACCAGTATATAGTTGTTACCTCTCTAAGTTGGAGATCAAGTTCAGATCCAATTCAAATCCAGTTTATCACTTACTTTTTATTGCCAGAATGTTTGTCATGCATTTCGCGTAATATAAAAAATTAGTGTAACATTTCAAATTTCTACTATGCTATAAATCTCAGAGAACATATTTATGTGTTTTTATTGCCTTTGATTATATAAAAAGTTTTCTCTTTATGATGCGTTGATTTTTGGAGTTTTTTATATTTGAAAAAAATCTGATTTTTTTGTAAATAAAGCTTTTTGCTTTGTATTTAGGGGTTCTGATCAAAAATAAAAGTGATATTTAAATATTCATAATTATTATCACTCGATATTCAAATATTCGGAATATTTATGATTATTCGAAACTCCATTACCAAAAGTATTTTAATGATGGTGGCCGAAATTAATTTTAGCAAATCCGAGCCATATAAATCAGGAATTTAGACTCCTAACTAGTGACGAACGAAACTTAAACATTGCCTAAACTGCGGGAGAAACTGTAGGCGAAACTTTTAAATTATGATCAAGTTTTAAATAAAATGGATTTATCAAAGTGTCGTCCAATCGTATGTTGGATATGCGACCTAGTCTCACTTTTTGACCAAGTGAATTTTTTTATCAATCAACTTTTAATTAATTAATCAATCAGATAATTAAATAATTCCATCAGAGCCTTGCTTGAGAAAAGTTAGTATAAAATTATTTCTTTATAAATAATTCGTTTTGTAATAATAAAACAAATTAATTCTTTTTTTGTTTAAATAAAAATTTTGTGGTCGGAAATTAAACAGTAGTACTAGTAGTAAACCAAAAAAACGGTAATTATTTTTTTTCCATGATTTTCGTTGATCGATCAATAAAATAACCGATAAAACTTTTTGTAGAAATCATCATGGCAGAAACAGTACAATTTTATCTTGAACAAATGGTACCCGAGCTCGAAGATTTGGAAAGAAAAGAATTATTTTCTAATGTATACATATATTATTTTTACTACGAGAATTCATTACATATATTTGTATTTATTATTGAAAAGTTTTTATTTGAATGTTTTAGGCTGAAATCAAAAATATTGTCAAAAAGAGAACACATTTTGAATATGCTCTTAAAAGAAGACCAACTAGAAAAATAGATTTTGTGAATTATATAGAATATGAAAAGGATTTAGAACAACAACGTAGAAAAAGAAAACAACGTTTTGGTAGAATTACAATTATGATTATTATTGTTTATAGGATTTATATATTTAGAGATCTGAACATATAAGAATAATCTTTAATGTTCTTTTTTTTTGCAAAAGGTATAAAAAGAAAAATATCGCTATCAGATTATTCATTAACACAAAGAATATTTAATCTTTATAATCGAGCAATTACAAAATTTCACAGTGATATAGAATTATGGTTACAATATATAGAATTTGCTAAATCTGTTGGCGCAACAAAGTTGATTGGTAAGATCTTTGGAAGGTAGGTAGATAAATAAATATTTGTTGGTTATATTATTATAATGATAATAATGATGATATATATGTATATATGATTTTATAATTTGTACATTATTATTTATTCATTCATCAAAGTGCTGTACAAACACATCCTACCAAACCCATTTTTTGGATTCTTGCAGCAAAATGGGAATTTGAAGAAAATGCTAATATATCTGCCTCTAGAGGTATTTGCAGCAAATTAATTTGTGATTATCTTTTCTTGATAATAATAATTAATTAATATATTTAATCACAAAAATCACCAAATATATATATAAAGTTTTAATGCAACAAGGTCTTCGTTTTAATCCAGAAACAATTCAATTTTGGCATGAATATTTTAAGTTGGAATTAATGTATATTGAAAAAAATAAAGAAGCGTTGTAGAATTTTAGGAATCTCATCTAGTGCAATAGCAGAAGCATCATCAGAACAACAAGAAGAAGTAGAGGGAGAAGAAAAACCAAATGCTGAAAACGTGATAATGCTACAGAAATTAACTGGTGAAGACATACTGTCAGAAGATGAAAATTCAGATATGCATCTTGATAAAGATCAAATAAATTCATTAAAGGAAGATAATAATAGAGTGTTGCAAGGTGATATTTCCATAGTAATATTCTTTAATGCGATCAAAAGTAAGATTTTCTTTAATTAAATTTGATTCTTAATTGCTTCATATCAATGTAAGCATAATTAATAGGTCATATTTATTAGATATTCCAAATAATCTAAGCTTTCGTCAACAATTTATTAATATAACATGTGAATTTACTGATGTTGAAAAAATTCAAAATGAGATTTACTCGAGGTAATTTTCTTTAATAATATCATATTTTCTTGAATTCAATTGCAAGGATTTTTTTTATTTTAAAAAAATCTTTTTTAATAGCATTGATAAAGACTTTGGGAATGATCCACAAGCTCAAACTTATATTGCTGAGAGACATGTATCAGATATTTTAGAAATTGATGATAGTGTAGAATTCATGTCTGCCATAGAAAAGAGTATTAATGATTTTGATAAATATATTCAGGTTAGTTGAAATTTGATATTATATACATATATATATATATTCCAGTTATGGAAATTATTGTATCATATTTATACAATTAATACGAAAAAATTTTAGACTTCAAAAAATAAGGAAATCGTGTATTTATATACTCAATTTATGAGGAAATATATAGATAAAGTTTCTAAATTACCTAATATAGTAAGAAATCTTTTATGAATACGGTTTTTGATTTTTCCTTGGCACTAATTTTCCTTTTTTTTTAAAAAAAAGCACGTGTATCTTACAGATAAATTAATTGAAATTTACAAATTTGCCAATGAATCAAATTTAGCATCAGAGAAATTGTATATTGATTGGATTGATTGGATGTTGTTGCCAGAAAGTTGAAAAGAACCTGAATTGAAACAATTTGCCAAAAGAAGTACTGATATTTATCCTAATTGCGCAGAACTTTGGAATAGAAGAATCAGGATTAATGATAACATATCATTTGAAGAAGGAAATCAAGATTTTTCAAAAGAAAAATTGTATGAAATTTCCATGGAAAAGAATCCAATTTCTTCAGTATTATGGGATTCCTATCTTAATTGGATTCATAATTCATGGAAAAATAGAAATATAAGCAATAATGACATGGAAAATCTTTTAATGGTATGTTATGTGTTATGAGGATTTAATGATTTTTTCTGAATTTTTTTATTTATTTCAATAAACTATAGTCATCAACTCTTAAAATATCATCTATGCCATTTGTTAGTAGTGTAAATAAAAATTATAATCAATTAAATCAAATAAAACAAAAGGTTACTGATCAATATCTTAAATGGTCAATGGAAGTAGGTGGCATTGAAAAAGTTTGTGCATTATATAAAAGGTGAAAAAATATATAAATTTATAAAAAACATTTATTATTTATTTATTTTTTACTAATTAAATCTATTTAACAGCTTATTTAGAAAAACATTGTTACCACTTTCATTCTACCAAACATGTATAAATATAGAGAAAACACATACAGATTCATCTAGCAGTAACAGCAGCAACAACAACAATAACAATGATAACATACAAAATTTAAAATGGGTTTATGAGCAAGCATGTGGTTCAAAAGATGCACCAGATGGTTATTATTTTATATATATATTTGGGGAAGGGATTTTATTTTTTGAATTGGAATTAACGAAAAATTTTTCCTTAATAATTGTGATTGTAGATCTTTGGCTGGAATATATAAAGTTTCTTATCGATAATAATGAAATTGAACATGCAAATAGTGTGTGTTGGGAAGCAATACAAGTAGTACCAAATCCTCAACAATTTAAAAAAAGATATAAAAAAATAAATACTAATAATATTTCATAGTGATAAATTTTTTCTTTTAATTTTATATATTTAGCAAAGAATCATTCATCCATTAAATCAGTAAATTATTATTTATTTATTAAAAAAGCTACCTTTTATTATCTACTATATAAATAGGTCATCCCGTTTTGGTATTTCTTCACCTTTTTGTAAATATAAAATTTCAGCTATGGCTTCATGAACCTAATTGAAGAATATAAGTCAGAGGTTATTATATAAACATATATCACTATCGATTTTGAATGTTTTGTACCATTGCAATATGTGCACTAATTTTTGCTATATCATCAGTGTATTTTTCAGATTTTCTACAAGATTGAAATATATATATATATATAAACATAAACATAGATAATAAGATCAATCAATCCATTATTTATTTAATTTGGTCACCTTTGTAACGTTTTTTCTTTTTTATCAATGAATTCAATTGCTTCATCCAATGTTAGTTGAGGATGAAATCCAAATCCAACGTTAACATAAATATAAGTAGTATCAGGTCTGCACATACGTATTAATATGTACGTGTATGTAAATATTTAGAAACAAAAAAAATTGTTGTCTAGTAAATAGTAAGATTACATACACTTTTGCTTGAACATAAAAATTTGAACCTAAATCAACCATAGTTTTAAGTTGATTTAATTTACTTGACTTCATTAATTGAATATTGTTTCTTAATTTAACACTTTTTTATTGACGAAAACATATATTAATAAAGAGAAAGAGAAAGAGCATGTTTAAAAAGGTTAAAAAGCCAATCATTTTTCCATTCATAATAATAATAATAATAATTAAAACAATACTATTCTGAAATTTCCTCATAAATCTTTTCACGTAATTCCCAAGTTTTCTTTAAATCAACTTCTAACTTGTCGTGTAAGAAACTTTTATATTGTGCTATTTTCTTTTCAATATTTTTTGTTTCCATGATTTATTTACCTACACGTGTAACATTCACTTAAGCATCAGAATTTTTTTTAAACTTGCAAATTAATTAATTAAAAAAAAAAAAAAAGTTACTTACAAAGACTCATTTACTTAAGGTTTCAAGGAACATTTTGACATCTTTTGTTTATAATAATCATAAAATCCACAATACCAAGTGCATCGGAACCCATATTTTCACATTTAATCCTTCTTCCCAAATGTCCCTTATTATTAAAAATACTATTGCTCCAACCAGCTCCTATAACACCATTAACAAGGATCATTTGAATAACGGGAACATATCAATGTACAAAGTTCTTTGTGATGAAGATCGGTAGGTTTCCGACAGTATTGGGAAAACTATGTAAATATTAATGCGAATCTCGAAAGTTGATTGGTGAATTTTTTCTGTGGGAAAAAGGTCTCTTACTTTTTTCAGTTCTTATCTTCTTCATATTAGGGCCTCGGATAATTATGATTGAACTGGTATATTAGTATATTAATATCTTGCTAAAATGGTAAGATAGTTTCCTTTTTTTAAAAAATCCAAAATTTTTACGAGATCACTACCCCATATTCACCAATTATAATTATTCGAGGTCGGTCACAATCATCATATTAATATTCATCTTTTATTAAAAATCAAGTGGTTGACATATGGTTTAATTTGACAACGATCTGTCTATGAATGAGCGAAATATTGATCCTTTTACTATTAATATTAATACATTAATTATATAAATTATACTTGCCACCCAAACTCAAAAGGCAAACTCTTGAATTAGGTAATATATCTTTCTTTTTTTTTTTTTAACGATGTATTATTATGTTTATTAAATTTATATTATCAATTACAGATAAAAAACATAAACAAATAATTACCCCCCATATCTGATTTATATCAGATTGGTTGGGCTGACTATTCACCGCCCTTTCTTTCCATGTGGCTGTTAGTCCATAATGGAATTTAACATTTAACAAACAGAAAAGGGTAGGTAATATATCTTTAATGTTAATGATCTGCAAAAATAATCATCCAATCACGTGATAAAATTCAAAAATCAAAAAATTTAAACTTTTTCTCATGATGTCATTTGCTTTTTTTAAAGTTTTAGAGTTTTGAAATGATTTCAAAGTTTTAAAATAGTTTTGGAGTTTAAAACAGTTTCAAAGTTACGAAATAGTTTTATTTGAATAAAAGTTCAAATCATTTGAGTTACTGAAAAAATCATTTTGTTATTTTAATCAGTGGTTGTGTTGAAAATTTTCATTGGTTAATTAAATCAGGTGTTGAAAATTTAATCGGTACACAATATAAAAAATAAAAATTATAAATGAAATTTTTTTTTAATAATGTAAATACCATTTTATCCACTATTACACTATCATCAACATTGTTTCTATTGTAACAATATAATGCCAAGTAATATGAATACCCAACTATGTCATTATTAGCTAAAAAAACAATTATGCATTGCAGCAACTTCTACTCCAAGCGAGTGTCTATTTAATGAAGCCGGAAACACGATGACAGCTAAATGAACAAAATTGTTGAATCCATTGTTATTTGAAAGGATCGTATTTCTTTGAAATGTATTGAAAATATCTTTCTTGATGAATAAATAATTGTCATTAAATTTATTATAATATTTTTTTAAGTAAATTTAAATCAATGAATATTCAACGGATATCCAGTGGATATTAGTATTAGGCGGATATTTGGTGAATGATCGATTATCCGAATAATCGGTGAATACTAATATCATTAGGTGGATACAACAGTTAATTTTAATGACATAGAGGCTATATATTATTCCAAGAGCAACCCTTTGTTTTCGATATTCTTTTTAAAAAAAAATATGCATAAATATGTTCTTTGGCATTTGTTTCATAAAAAAAATTATTTTGTAGTACCATTTTTTTTAAACACAAAAGTCATCAATTAATAAAACTTCCTCTACTGATACTTGCTTATAGTAGGCTCTAATTGTCCGTTTGGTTTTTTCCGTAGTTTAGGAATTTCGTCAATTTCGCCAGAAAATTTTCATAGAAATTAGGCCTAAACCAAAATTGCCTAAATGCCTAAACTATGAGTTAGTTTCGGCCACCATCACTACTTGTAAAGGCTTTACTCTTGAAGTTAGACAAGAAAAATAATTAGAGCTTGCGCTAGCAAATTTCAGCTGCTTGTTTTTTGTGATGAGAACTAAATCCAGATATCCATGACTTTGAAGAAAGCTTAAATCACATGACTTCAATTTATAGAAAGAAAAAGGAAAATTTTATATAAACGGTCGATAAATTGATTGATAGGTTGGTTGGTCATTTGGGAATGTGTGAAGCATCAAAAATCAATAATTATAACAAAAAAAAAAAAAAAAAAACAGAAAGTCCACAGCTTGCCTACACCACTTGTAATTGAAATTATGAGTTAAAAGCTTTATCGATTTGTAAATAAATAATATACAACTTATGTGTTGAAAAATATACAATTTAGAGAGAAATTGTATTTAAAGAAATGAATCAAGAAGAATGACAAACCAAAAGGGATAATAAAGATACAAATATATTAATAATATATGATACAAAGAATAAAAATAATCGAATTTAAAAAACTTGAACTTGTCATTTTACAATGATTAGTGATTGAGGATTTTGTTCTATTGCGTTTTGTTCTGTTACAATGGTATCTGCAGTTTGTTCGTTTGTCTTCTCTATGTTTTTATATCTTCTTCCAAGTAAAATCTCTCAATTTGTGGGTCCAAAATGCTACTATATATGAAATAAAGTAACCTACAACTAATAAATAAAACACACCAAATAGCAATCTCCGGACCAACATTCCCATCAACAAATACAAGAGACCCAAGTCCAAATTTAAATTTAAATAATTAAATCATAACATGATGTTTTGATTTTTCATGATTTATGACGATTTTACTTACCTTGCATAAATTATTCATACTTCAAAAACGTACAATACTACTAAAGATATTGTCAGAAGAAAAAATCGATATAAGATTATTTGTTTATTTAAGAACAGCTCACTTAGTCCGAAAACAACATCTAGACCATATCTTGATATCCAAAGACACAAAACTATTGGAGAATATTTAAAATTTTGGAAATATTTGACAAGAGGCACCCAACGCAGAATTGATAGAATAGAACCATCATAATCATCATAATCATCACCATTATTATTGAAATATATATATAAAAGCAATATATTTTTGAATAAAAAAACTTACTGATAATGTACAACTGAATGATGAAGTAACCAGAATGCCCAATTAAAGGATTTCGGAGATTTGTTAAATGAACTTGTTGTTTTGGATTTACATATTTTATTGAATGATGAAATGCAATCTTTATATTTGTGATTTTAAAAATTATACATTTACTTCAATTCTCAAAAAAATATAAAAATAGAAAATCTTACAGTAAAATAAATTAATAATCCAACATGACTCCAATTTTCAAAAATAAAAAAAGTAAGTGATGGTTTCAAAAAATAAACCTAACAATAATATTACCCATGCATAAACTGTTACCAATCCTCTAAATTTAAGCAATGTCAATGGGCTGACAAACCATGAAGTTACAGAAGGCTCAGGTTGAAATTTCATTATGTTTTTAAACAAATTAGTCGCGCTAAAAACTTGTATATTTATATGACTAGACGCATCTATTCCTTTATCATTATCATGCTCGCGACCAATAGCCTTTTGGCTGTTTGACCAGCTAAAAAAATTGGCCAAAGCGGTCAAAATTTCTCAATTTTGATGTTAGCCAAAACAGAAAAATCATAAATGCCAATTATGGCATAGTTAATGATTATTTTCTAATCATTGTAATTCTACTAAAAAGATACATATATTTAAATTTTCAGTATTATTCATTCAAACTTTTCCAAGTGTTTTTTTTTTAAAACATTAACAGCTATAATCACCATTATATAAAATAATAGTAATTTAAGCTAATGGTTGGAACAAATAATCCATCCACTAACAAAAGAAAAATTACTAAACGTTTACAATTACTGTATCTTTCCTCAACTAATAATTGTAACAATATCAATATAAATATTCCTCTCAGAAATGTGATCCACCCACCACCATCAATTCTTATTATGTTCAGCTGAATTCACCTCCAAGTTACAGAAAATGATTTTCTCAATCTTCATTACAATGTAATCGGCAACGTTGTCAATGATTTAGACAGAAGTATGTATTATTGCAAAAGTATAAGGCCACTCACTATAATATAACAAGCTCTTTAATGACAAAGGTGGTGGTACTCATTTGATTGCAAATTATTTTTTTGTATCTTTTGATATAGACTCTATCCCTATTTAAATATCCATTTCAAATATTTTAGTCAAAATAAAATAATGTCAATTTTATATAGAAGCGTAAACTACTGGTTGTGTAAATTAAGCTAGCAGCAAAACTAAACAGTCTCTTGCAGAAATGATTGTCTCGAAAGACATGAACCTAGTAAATTTAGATACAAACGTCAAGAAAATAAAAGTGAACAGTAATAATAGTAGCCGC